CACAGGGTGAGAGCTAACTTTCCAGTGGTCAGCCAAGAAGGGGAGAAGAGCCCACATTTTATGGATCTTAGGGTTGGTGATTCGCCTTACCAGCTTAAGTTCATGGTTATGGATCAACTCTGACTTGTCAAAATCAGGTATTTTTACTCGAGCTGCTCTAGGAGGTTCCATTGGACTGGCTAATCCTTTGCCTTTCTTAGCTGGTGAGAATCTTCTGTTCATGTTTTCCTTAGGTAGCTTCGCGAAAGGGCGAGAAGGGAGGGGATCCTTTGAGTGGATTAGTCTAGTTTGTAAGTTTCCTCTTGGAGAGTAGGGTGCAAGGTGAATCCACCAGGAAGCTCAGAGGATTTGGAGCTTTTGAAAGCTAAGTTGGAAGGTTGGATCTACACCAAGTTAGCTCATAAGAGGCAGAGATCATCATTGTGTGGTAACTTGGTTGGATATAGATTCCAGCTTGTAAAAACACCGGTAGATATCAAGGTTTTCAGTACCAATTCTGGCCACCATGAAGAAATCCGGCCATTTTGACCTAACTTGTAGCAAAAGTAGAGGGAAGACTTGGTAGGTGAACAGTTAGATTTGAAAAACTTACCAAAAAGGGGTGGATATCTATTAGGTAATAGACATGTTCTCTGCTATCTGTGGTTAAAGACTGATCTCGGGCTTCGGACCTGGGAGCGTTTGCCTTACCTTTTTTTTTTTTTTTCAGAGATGTCTATGATGCAAAAATTTCTTATAGCAAAAGTTTTGGTTCTTTACATATGGAACATGTATGTATTCTGGAACTCAAAGATTTCTTAATCAATCTTATACAAAGATACTACATATTAACAAAGCTAGTTACTTACATCAGCTACCAAAAAACTACTAAAGAACATTGACTTATCAAAGCCATGCAAGGTCTGAAAGAGCCATAATGGTAGGAAAATCTTAGAAAAACGAGATTTAAACAAGTTATGAACTAAGCTGATCACTCGAAATTCCTAAGTCAAAGATTATCAGATATGATTAAAACCTTAAGCTAGAGTGATAAATGATTGGTGTTTACCCATGCCGGTCTCAAGAGTCCCTTCTTCAATGTCGATATCATCCGCTCCCATATTCATAGATCAAAAGTCAAACGGGTCGACAATAATCCCTTCTGAAATCAATCAACCGACACGGTCCACAACA